GCAAGAGCTCACCTTCTCGACACAGAGCCTTTTGAGGATGCATTTGGACCTAAGAGAAAGAGGAAGCGCCCAAAGCTCCTAGCTGTGGATTATGAATCTTTACTAAAGAAAGCAGATGGTTCTCAAGGTAAACTATGGGTATTACTATATTAGTTTTTATTTAGGGGACATGAGTCTGACCTTACTATAAGATTTTTTACCAACTTCTATAGGAATTCAATATTGAAGCTTCTATATGTATTTCTCATTTTTGTTATCGAACTGCAGACACATTTGAGCAGAAATATGGTGCCTCTACTTCTACAGAAGCAGGTGAGGTAGACGGATTCCGTGACCTTGTTCGGCACACTATGTTTGAGAAGGGTCAAAGCAAGCGGATATGGGGGAGCTCTACAAAGTTATTGACTCATCAGATGTTGTGTCCAGGTCAGTCTATGTCCATCCTCTATTATTAGACTTTGATCTCTGTAGAAAAGAATAATCCTTTAACCTGGCTTGCCTAAATTTTTATTGCTGCTTCTATTTGATTTACTGGAGCATGTCAAACACTTTACAAATAGACCTGAAAATAAAGATATGATCTTTTAAAAATTTCCAATGTATCTTTGCTAGACAATGCATAACTTCTGTCCCGAATTTTTAAGAGGCAACAATAGTAAACTAGTAATCCATGCCTTCGTTTCATTTTTTTTTTGCATACAGGTTTTGGATGCTAGGGACCCACAAGGTACAAGATGCCGTCATTTGGAAAGGCATTTGAAAGAGCATTGCACGCATAAACACATGATTCTTCTGTTAAACAAGGTTAGTTTAATTTTCAGGTGGATGTTTCTCTAAGTGTGTTGTTATTGTTGCTATTATTATTATTATTATTATTATTATTTTACTCCATGATGTTTTCTGTAAAACCAATTGTAAACAAGGATGGTTTCATTTTCATTTCACGTGGAAGTTTCTCTAAAATTGTTTTTATTGTTTCTTATTATTATTATTATTATTTTACTCCATGATGTTTTCTGTAAAACCAATTGTAAACAAGGATGGTTTCATTTTCATTTTCACGTGGAAGTTTCTCTAAGATTGTTGTTATTGTTGCTATTATTAGTATTATTATTATTATTTTACTACATGACGTTTTCTGTAAAACTGCTTGTAAACTCTGCTAATGCCTAATTTCAGTGTGACCTGGTCCTGCTTGGGCTACAAAAGGGTGGCTTAGAGTTCTATCCAAAGAATATCCAACCCTAGCATTCCATGCAAGTGTTAACAAGTCTTTGGAAAGGTACTTCTAGTTCATTTATGACATAGTTGGGTCTAAAATATCTATAGTTAAGTGTTCGCACCTTCATCCCCTTTGTTATCTTACAATCAATTGCATCTGCAACATCTTTAGCTGTTCTGTTGTTTTAGTATTTTGGTATATTTGGGTTGACGTTTATTCATTTTTAGATTTTTGTTTTGTTTTGGAATTTTAATCAAATTTTGTTTCCATCAATGTAGGGTTCTCTTTTATCAGTTTTAAGACAATTTGCCCGCTTAAAAGTGACAAGCAAGCAATATCTGTTGGCTTTGTTGGTTACCCCAACGTTGGCAAGTCTTCAGTTATCAACACACTCCGCACTAAAAATGTAAAGTTTTTGTTCTTTTTCATTCTTTTATTTCATGCACTTTTACTTTATGCTCTTCTAATCCAGTATTGTGGTAATATATTAAAGTGGGATGTACTGTGTGTTCCTATGCATACGACTATTTCTGATGTACCTGACCTTGTACTGTCACCTGCCCTTTTTAACCTATAACGTTCATCATGTTTCTATTTTGGTACATTGAGAGCATTATACTTGCAGGTATTAATGTTTAACATTTTTCTTTTCCTTTTGGTACTCTCATAGAAGGATGGCTTGTAATGTGGCACTGGGGTGTAAATATTAAATATTGTTCTCCTATATTTGGTTAATTTGTCTTTATATATATGGTGCTTTAGTTCTGTTCTTTAATTTGTTTTCTTCAATTTTCTGAAGGTTTGCAAGGTTGCTCCGATCCCAGGGGAGACTAAGGTGTGGCAGTATATAACACTCACTAAAAGGATTTACTTAATCGACTGCCCTGGTGTGTTACCAGAACAGTGACTCAGAAACAGATATTGTGCTGAAGGGTGTGGTATGTTCTTTATGCTAAATGCTATCAACATTTTGTTTTTCATTTATGTTCATATTTAAGGATCAGACCAAACTCTTGTTTTTTCTAGGTACGTGTCACGAACCTAGAGTATGCTGCTGAGCACATTGGGGAAGTTTTAAAGCGTGTCAAAAAGGAGCACTTGGAAAGAGCATACAAGATAAAGGATTGGTAAGCTACTTTGTGGCCATCATCTCCAAAGATCCTTAAGATAGCTCTTAGTTTTGTTTGTTTGATGATCTATTTTAATGTAGTTTCTTAATAACATATATCGAAAATATTGAAGTTTATTAGTTAACTATTGCTCTATTGGGTGTGTGCAAGCCTTTTAACAATAAAAGAGTTGTGCATTTATTACATTTATCATTTGCTGTTGTCAGGGAAGATGAAAATGACTTCCTGGTCCAGCTATGCCAGTCAACTGGTAAACTTTTGAGGGTATGTTTTAGCCTTAAGGTTTAAGCTCATTTAGTATTAACTGTAGTACAAAGCTTGATTAAATTACATGCCGGGAAGTGTTTATTCTCAAGCGATTGTGTTAAACATAAATGGTTTATGTTTAGGGTGGAGAACCTGATTTGACGACCGGAGCGAAGATGATACTTCACGACTGGCAGAGAGGTAGAATACCTTTCTTTGTTCCTCCTCCTAAACAAGAAGCTGCTGATTCTTCAGAGGAGCCACCGTGCATGGTATAGACAAGGAGGCCGTGGCTGATAATAATCAGGCTGATGCTGCGTTTAAAGCCATTGCAAATGTGATGCTGTTCCAACAGCAGAAAAACGTACCTGTTAAGGCGGATCTCTTCAGCGACAATGAACTCACGGTGAGGCAACCAATGAGGTTCCCGTGATATGGCTGGTGAAGTTGAAGCCCCTGATGATGAGGTTGGAGTCAGTAGCTCAGATGAAGCCTAGACTTTCTGTTTTAGGGAAAGAGATCAAATGCTCTCGTTTTATGGTAGCCAGGGTTTGTAATTTACGTGGAATGTGTTCTCAATCAGAAAGATATTTGACTGAATTCAACTCTGTTTTGTTTTTGTAATTCAAGAAGAAGAAAAGAAATTTCTGGAAATGATTTATGATAATTTGTTTTATCTCGATGGACTATGTATTTGAAGTTCAATTTGTTTACAATTATATACAAGCAATATCATGCGTCTACAGCTCTCACAAATCCTCAAATTTTCCTCTTCATTTAAAATCTAGCATGCCAAGAAGACTTCATGAAATTTTCCTAAGCGCAAGTACATACAAAACTTTCTAATTCACATACTATTGTACATATACCAAATAATCTTTAGCAAAAACATATTATTTGGTCATCACTCTAGTAAAAGCCAAACTCACCAATTATGCATGAACAACATGCTTCACTTAACATGCATGATGAATACTAACAACAGACAACAATAATACATAAACATATCAAAGATGAGTACTAGGTTATCTAGTCTTATGTAGATGTCACTATTCTAGATAGAGGTTGACAATACGTTCGAGAGGTGTGTTGTGACTTTGATGTTCTGATGTTGCTCGAAAGAACAAACGTTCCTATTTACAACTTGAATCTATGCACGAAAATAAACCACTCACTGAAGTTCGAGCATAGTGGTTCCAAACAAAAATAATAGTAATAACAATGAAAGCATAGCAAAAATATAACATAATTTTATGGGTAAAGTACAAAAATGATCCCCGATTATAGGGTATTGTTTAATGAGTCTCCAGATTATAGGACTCCGATATACTTTTTATTGAGTCTCCGACTATTAAAATTTATAAAACATCACCTGACTATACACATGTGACTGAGATATGCTATTCGTTTGAGATTCTAGGATCAAATTCATATCCTAATCAGCAGTTTAAGGTCCAATTCAGATTGCCGTCATTTTTTTAAATGAAAAATGACAAGTTTGGAATATATGAATGGTTGAGAACTCAACAAGCAACATCCTATAGTCATAGGAAAAATTTTAACTTTTAATAGTCAAATGACTCAACAAAACAACACAAGACCCATTTGTGTACTTTACCCTATATTATATACTTCATAGATAACCAAGTAAAATATATGTATATATAACCACACAAGTGCATATCACGAGGTATCATATCATATAAGTATACAACGACCATAACATTAATAATCATTTTACTTCATTTTATAAAAAAAAATCGAATCATATTTAATATCATAGTGAATGAATCGTCATATATCATGATTTACATATTATACTAATTTCATAACATAGACATTCATGCTTTTTTATCATATAATTAAATTAGAATACTATCGATATCATTTAATTTAAACCGGTAATCAGAACATATCATATACATACCTTGTGAAACTCCATTCATCCAAGGACATGTCATCTAGCATAACCGATCCAAATAAAGGCTAATGTCAAGCCCTAATCATAATCAACACAGGTACATATAGAAATGCACTAACCTTGACTCCAAGCTTTCTCATTTCAATATCGCGTATCATGTTATATATATGGTATGTTCATATATTTGTGTTCTTATTATGTCGAAAATTAGGACAAAAATCAAACAAGATCATAAGTTAAAGATACTGTTAAAAAGAAGTTGCCACAGAGACTCTTTGGTCTTTTATTTTCTTATTGATATGATTCACAAGTCTTGATTCTAAACCTTGAAAAACATCACTTTTTTAATTAGAGAACACTATATGGTAACTAGGGTTGATAGTCATCGATATCTCTTTGGCAGCTTCAGTTGTGGATTGTATATAGTTCCTTCTGCAGTTTCTTAGAGTGCATCCAACATCTGCACCTCTTGTACCATATTTCACACCAATTTGATCCATGCCCACCTTGTCCTCATCCATTTCCAATTGCAGCCCCAACCCCACCATCTAGGTCCACCGAATTCGTTCTTCCGACCTGACCCAGTTCCAAAGCCACATCCAGTATTGTTTCCTGTGTGACCCCATGATTGTCCAACGCCACATCCAGGTTCCTGTGTGACCCATGATTGTCCAACGCCACATCCAGCACTGTTTCCTGGCTGACTCCCTGATTGTCCAACGCCACATGCAGTATTGTTTCCTGATTGTCCAACACCACATCCAGTATTGTTTCTTGGCTGACCCCCTGATTGTCCAACACTACATCCATTGTTTCCTGGCTGACCCCCTGATTGTCCAATGCCAATTCCAATACCTCTTCCATTTCCATTTCCAATTCCGACACCATATCCACTGCTGTTTCCTGACTGACCCCCCAATTGTCCATCATTTCTCGACTCACACCCTGATTGTCCAAGGCCATACCCAATACCATTTTCATTTTCATTGCCCGTTCCCATGGTGTTTCCTGAGGCACTTCCAATCCCATGACCAACCCCAAGTTTTTCATCAACAAGGTTCTCCGTTGGTTCATGCACAACAGGGTCCACTTTTTTGGGGCAGTTTGGCTTGGTACAACAGGAACCTATGAGCCGAATTCAATCCCAAGGAAAACAAACCGAGAGAATCATGCAAGTAAATTTTAGTATTGAGGACGAGGTCTTTTGTTGGTCTTCTTGGATGTGATTCAAAGGGTTTCACATCATTGCTTTATATAGTGTGAAAATGACAGTAAAAGGAGAAGATTTGAGAGAAGTGCAACGCTGAAAATGCCCTATAGTGCTTGCTTGTTTGTTCGTTCTTCTAATCTGGGATCATGGACCTTACATGAGTAGTCATTTTGTGCCTTAATTTACTGCAACACCAATCGATCATTATTTACCAAGCAAAAGAAAACAAAACCCCCCTCTCATGTGCCTTATGCCTTTTCATAATCTCTTGGATTTAATAAATTAAGAAGGATGTTTAGACCAACAGGGTTGGTTCTAATAGTAAGCAGCTTGATATACTTAAGAAGTGTGAAGAGAATCTCTCCCTGGGAAACTCATCCACTAAAACTAAATGTATGACGCAAATCGATCTGGATTAGTCATGATAAAATCCTGAAACCGAGATCGCAACAAAAAAAAAATAAAAGGATGTTTAGTTTAAGCACTTAATTAACCTAAAATCATTTGTTGTTTTCTTCAGGAACAGGGAATGATAAAAGTTGTCCTCAATGCTTTGTATTTCATTAATTGGTTTTAGGGTGATTTTATTATTAGAATTCATTGTCATAAAATTGACAACTTAATACTTCATATCAACTTATCTTGATATAGTGATTATCTGAGATGTAAGATATGCTTAATGTAATTTAAGTGTTTTTTTAATTGTTTTTAAAATTTAACATGCTGAGATTCGTATTATAATTTTTATTTCTATGATAATATATATTGTTTATGATTCATCTCGTAAATCGTAGTTTTAAAATAATTAAATTGAACCAATTAAGCGATTTCAATGGTAAAAAGAAGTATTCTTCTCTCCAGCGGTCCGGGTTAACATTTCCCTCGTTACACCCGTTGCCGGATATTCTGTGTTCCAGTCAGGAACCTCCTGCTTCTCAGAACTCCGGTTTCCTATTTGACCAAAAAGGTAAATATAAGAGTTCCGTATTCATTCTTATTCCATTAGAACATACAGAGTTCGTATTCTTCACGAGTTTCTCACAATTCTACGCAGTTCCAAGAAAAAAAGAAAGAGAAACGGCACTGCAACTGCGAATGATAAATCATCTCTCACATTCTAACATTTCGTCTCTCCAATAAGTTTATTACCACATATGAAATATCCCTCTAATCGAAAATGCTCTTTAACAAGTTGTTTAAAGGTAATTTATGCCAACATTTAAAGCTCACTCACCACCACCTTCGGATTCCATGGCCTTCAAACTTTCGGCCATCATTCGGTCCCTGTTCTGCTGTTGTCTTCTACAGCAACCATACAGGCCTACACAAACTCATAGTGAAACCACAGGCATTAGCCATGAAAGAAGATGAAGTTTATGATCTCAGAGTACCCTATGTAATGCAATATGCGCCAGGTTAATGATCAAGAATGCATACCAATTGCACTTCCTATTGCCACACCCATAGAATCCTCATAGACCCACTTATCTCCTATAACTCCTCGGCTTCCCATAGCTGCAAAACCAATTAACTAATTTGCATAACATCAATCTAGATATCAAACGTTATTGCTGACCTAGTCTAATGCAAAGATAAGATTCAGAAAGGCTACAGTGCAGGCTTGTTTATAACTTTATGGTTAAACTCTTCCCACTAAGAAGACCTTTTAACAAATTCTGAAATGCAGAGAACAGTTGACGGCTACTTCCGAGTTCTCAACCGCACCTTTCCATTTTAACTAGAACCTCCTATGTGGTGTTTCTTCAAAGGAAGAATCTTCCAAAGAGCTTGAAGAAATTATGGAGAGGATTCTTGGAAATTTTCAATTATTTACAAAAACTGTAAGTATAACACACACGCACACACACAACTTTTAACCTTGTCTAATCAAGAACCATTAGCATTGATAATTTGACATGAGACCTTTTGAGTCGCATAATTTAATGGCGGAAGCAAACAAACTTGTTGGCATCGAAATCACGGTAAATGAAGCTTTTATATGAAGTTCATGATACAGTAAATGAAGCTTTTATATGAAGTTCATGATACAGAATCAACTCAATCGTATGCTCAAATGGAAGAAGCCCATGAATTGAATTTACAGCAAAGAATCTATGAAGTCGCATAATTTAATGGCGGAAGCAAACAAACTTGTTGGCATCGAAATCACGGTAATGAAGCTTTATATGAAGTTCATGATACAGTAAATGAAGCTTTATATGAAGTTCATGATACAGAATCACTCAATCGTATGCTCAAAGGGAAGAGCCATATAATTGTGAATTTACAGCAAAGAAGCTATGATTTCCTTGGCTTAGATTTACAGCTCTTTGGCCTTTCATAAAATTCTATTTAATTGGCAGTTTCAGGTTAGAAAATGAAGGAAAACCCAAGTTCCAACGAAACCCAGAAAGAATCATCAATTACTGTAAATATATAGGGAAAATAATAGATTACCTTTGAAGAGCTAAGCCAGAAATGGATGTGTTTTTGTTTTTGTTAGTCTTAGAATCTTGCTTACAGTGTTTCTTAGGGCTTCTCATTACAGCGGCAGCTGAAATTGGGTTTTGAGAAGTGTTCTCACGCTCTTCGACGTCGCGTGGGATCTGTAACTCTGATCTGAAAAGTAACAAGTGTCGACATTTCGTAAAAAATTATGTATAAAAACTTGGTCCCTAATATTTGTGTGTGTCTAGGTCAATTATTGAATTTGACAATTTTGTTCAGCTTACTCCTTTCATCCAATCTTTCTGTTCAATCCTTTGGTTCAAATTAGTTCACAATTATTTTAATTTATCTCTAAATTTGAATTTCATAGTACATTCCTCGACAAAATCTAAATTTAGGGCTAATGGGCAAGACTATCAAGTTGAAAGTTGTCAAGTTAGAATTAATTGTTTATTAATTCAGAAGTTCAATATTATTATTTTGTTGTCTTACCAGTTCTTTTAAGATTTTAGTTAATTCAGATTGACCCGTGTTACATATCTAATTTTGTAGATAAATCTTCTAACGCGACCTCGAACGTGAGACATGCTTAAATACCTTAAATTTGGGTAAAATACATCATCATGTCACCCAATTATTAGTTAGGTTATAAAAGGTTTACTCATTTTTAAAAAGTTGTAATTGAGTAAATTAATCACAATTTTATTACAATTAAGTTAATCCTCCTTTAAAAAATGACACGGATGCCTCAAAATGTCTAGTATAATAATAATATTAGCCTCCAAAAATTATATATTCTACGAGTTTGATCTTAATTCAAAACAATTCAATAAATTTAATACTTTATATTTAAAAATTATATCAATTTAATCCTTATATTTTCCACAAATTGTTGTTCTTCTACCAAATTGTTTTTTGTGTAAATTACAGAAATGAACACTAACTTTCGAGTAAGTTTTTATTTTCACCACTAAAGTTTCAAAAGTTACAAAATAGTCAATCCAAACTCAACCCCCGTTAATTGTGCGACGGAAATCTGATGTGATAGTTAGGGAGTTGATTTGGCAACTTTTGACCCCTTTAACAAATAAAAACAAAAAACACAACGCAACTTTTGTAAATCTTTCCTATTTCAATTGTCGATTGTGGCACCGTTTGATTTTTTATGCTTTTTTTATGCAGATTTCTCATTTAGCAAACTGGGTTTCTTCGATGTTGAATTTTTCATCTCTTTCTCGGATTGGGTTGCTTGCCTGATATAGATTTGCTCAGGTGCAGAGCCGGCCCAATACATGCGACAGATAGGCCTTATCCCATGGCAGCATGATCGAGGGGGCAGCATGCATGTTTTGGAGGGTTCATAGCCATTCCATGCAGAATCACACAGGTCAAGGAGCTTTTTCATTAACAGAACCTAAGGGATGAGATTGAGAGACTTAAGAATGAAAAAGAGTCGCTTGCTTTAGAGTTAAAGAGGCATGAACAGTCACGGCAAGGATTTCAGATGCAAATGCAGCTTTTGAGGGAGCGTTTACTGAATATGGAATAGCGACAGCGAAAAATGATGTCTTTCGTGGCTCAAGTCTTGCAAAAACCAAGGCTTGCCATAAATCTGACACCACAAGTGGAGACTAATGACAGAAAGAGAAGGTTGCCTAGAATTGCTTACTTATATGATGAAGCCGAGATTGAAGATAGTCAGACAGGCAATTCCCTAATCGCTAGAGAAAATGCAAATTTCGCATTGTCGTCAAACATCGAGCCATTTGAACAATTAGAGTCATCTATGGTGTTTTGGGAGAATGTGGGTTCATGATTTTTGTCAAACTAACGTTCAAGGTAATTCAAACCTTGAATTAGATGAATCAACAAGTTGTGCAGAAACGCCATCAATAATATATTGCATTCGGCTTAATATTGATGCGCAACCTAAATCCCCCGGGATTGACATGAACTCTGAGCCTGCCCCGATTGTTACATCTGAGCCTATTAAAGAAAAGGAACAACCTGCAAGAACTACTGAACCTCCAAGAGCTGGCGTTAATGATATGTTATGGGAACAATTTTTGACTGAAAATCCTGGTTCAACTGAAACTCAGGAAGTCCATTCAGAAAGAAAAGATTCTGATGCTAGAAAGAATGAAAGCAAACTTGGTGATCAGAGAAGATTTTAACATTGCAGAGCAGATGGGGCATCTAACTCCCGCAGAGGGAACTTGATATTGGTTGATTTTCTTTTTATGGCTTTTGGTGCCTCGATATTCAGATGTATTAAATCTAGGTATGATTGGTTTGATGTGGAAATAAGTAGATAACTTAAGTTTGAGTTCATCTTCTCAAGCATGTCATTACGTTCGCACGTTCATTTGTTTTTAGGTGTTAAACAGCTATAGTGATTTACATGGCCTTTTTTATCTGCTTCAATATAGTTAAGATTCACATAATTTTTTGAGAAAACCGTTGATTGTATAGTATTTTTAGGTTTTGGTTTGTATTAGTATTGATATTGTTTGACTATAATTTCTATTACATTTTTGTTTTAAAAAAATTATTTATGTTTTGTCTATTATACAATACAAGTATAGGGGCATAAAATTATTATATCGCCTAGGATATTAAAACTCATTGGACCGGCCTGCTCAGGTGAATAGGGTGAGAATGAATCCTCACTTCCCATGGCCTCGCTTCCAGTGGCAAATCAACTATATTTCAAGCTTACGATTTTAATACCACCATGAAAACGAGAAGGTTGCAAAAATTAGCAAAGAACTAACCTGAACCTCGGCATAGGATATTTTTTTGGTTGGAAACCTTCAGCAGTGATCACCAACGATGGAAACGGCTCAAATGGAACTTTCCATTCCTTTTGAGGCAACCAAGGAACTGGTTCGTTTATGCATGTTAACGAAAATATTATGTCATGTGTTAACCCGAGACCTTTCGCCACGGGGAAGCCAAACGTTAAGCACCGTCAAATTCTTCGTTTTCAACCGGAACACTTCCTCCGACGGAGCCCCATCAAGAATCGAAACCAAAGAAGCACAAAACCCCTTTGTAATCTCAGAATCATTGTCGGCCCAAAATCTGAGATTCCATTCGAAGTCCATCTGGGCATCGAACCAACTTGTGTCGTGCAACACGTGACCTGATTCGAGTCAGTTTGGGATGAATCCGAGAGAGAATGGAGAAAGGAAGCGCGTAGTAAAGGAGAAGCTTACTCGGTTGAGGGGATCTAGAGGGACTGAAATTCTTTGACGATGGCAAAGAGTTTACGCTGTGGGAGATACCAATTTGGTTCGGAGACTGTACGATGAAAACAACTGCGCTTTGGAGGAAGAGAAACGCACCATTTGTCCTCCACTGCAAATCAACTAAATCAGTCGAGGGGCTTAACTCTCCATTAATAACGATACGTTCAACTGCATTTGCAGCATGGAGATGCAAAGATACAAAATAAACAACCCCAGAAAAAGTGGGGGGAAAGCAACAAGAAGGTGAGTGAAAAACGGAAGGTGAGAGAGAGTTGGAAAGAAAAATGACTATGTCAGAATTTATTTGTTTTTCTTTTTCTTTTAAAGGGTTCAAAAGGTGCCAAATCAGTTCCCTAACTGGCACTTCAGGTTTCTGTTACACATTTAACGAGTTAACGGTGAAGTGGTCATTTTTAGAAAATGATAATGATAGTGACTGTTTTATAACTTTTAAAATTTTAATGATAAAACGAAAACTTAATAAAATTTAATGACCATTGGTTTAATTTACCCTTATTGTTCCTTATAGTACATCAGTTGATACTTGATGAATGTCAAATCATATACAAAAATACGTCTAATCCTAACAATTTTGAAAAGCAAAAACATATAACTCTGGAAGCATACTATTAAATCAATATAAATCCTTTTTCGTTTGAACCCTGACCGTATATACACATAAAAATTTTATTTTAAAAATTTATTAATTTGATCGATTAAATTTGAAATGTGACAATATATATTCACATAAAATTTTTAAATTATAAGCAATAAAAAACAGTTGCGAAAGTTATGATAATAAAGAGAAATAATGGTTAACTTAAAAATTTAAGGGTTGATCCAAATTAAAACCAATATGAATTGAACCAAATGTCTAACGGTTGAGCTAAACTAAAACAACTGATCTGAATTGACCCAAAGGTTTAACTGTTTAGCTAAACTGAAACCAACCAATCCGATATTGATTGACCTGAAGTCAACCGATATGATATCAATTCGATAAAAAAACTAACCGATCTGATTTTGATCTGACGTAATACCTAACGCGAACTGAATTTTCATATATCCCAACTAAACCCAAATTAGCTCTGATTTGTTCCAATTCGAACCGAATCCAAACCGAAATAGTCTAGACTCAGAATAACCCAAATTGAACTTTCATATATACTAACTAAACCCAAATTAGATTTAAACAAAATCCGAACTAAATCTAAACCAAAATAATCTAATCCCGAAATAACCCTATTCAAATAACCCGATCTCCACCTCTGCTGCTCTCGTACCTTCAATATGTTCATTTAACTTTTAAAAATAGTATATCAAAAATATTTATTTTAATAAAAAATATTGAAGTAGGTTTAAACAAAGAAAAATCAATAACAATTATAATTGTAAAATTTGAATTATTTATAATTTATAAATTTTATAATCATGATTACTCAAATCAAATTCTATTTTTATATAAATTTTAATTTATTTAATTTTTTACAAAAATTGGTATTTAAACCATTAAAATAAATAAAAATTATTTCAAATCTATCAAATATATTTGTTTAATAATTTTTTTAAGAAATTTTCGAGGAGGATTTTAAAACTTTAATAACGTTCAAAAACCATAAAAATAAAATCCATTATCAATATGAAGTTAAAATCAAATCTAAAAGAATGAAATTATTATTATATTTTAATATAGAGTTTATGATCAAGGGTTTAAGCTTTAAAACTTAGAGAATAGGGTTAGAGCATACATGATACACTGATCCTCAACCAATTTACAGATAGGTGTATCTTCGTAGCCATACTGTAGAGATCAATGTAGCACAATAAATACTACTTTCTTGTATACTAAACATGATATTCCTACGAATAAAAAGGTTGTGGGAAACCGCAAGCTAGTTAAGAAAACTGTTCTCCTCTGGTAAAATGGATACAATTACATTCAA